ACCCTCTAGTTTTTCAAGCATGATATCCTTCTCCAGGGATTGGTTCCTTTTGACAACGTGACCAAAACATGTGCGATGAGGTCTGACCACTCTTGCTTCTAAGGAGCATTCCGGCTGCATTTCTTCCAAGAAGATTTGATCCCTTATGAATAGCAGTGAATCTGTGCATGTTGTTGTTGTTATGTGCCGTGGAGTCTGACCTGACTCATAGCGACCCTTCCTTGGGTTTCTGAGGCAGTATCACCACGAAAGTAGATTGCCCAACCTTCCTTCCGAGGAGTGGCTGGGGGTTTGAACCGCCAGCCTTCCGGTTAGCACTCAAATGCCTTGGGCACTGTGCTACCAGAGCTCCCAAAGAGACAGCCTGCAGTTTCTGGCGGGGAGCAGCTGGTGGATTTGAACTGCCAGCCTTGCACTTGGCAGGCAACTGCCTTAGGCCTGAGGCCATCCCCTAGGGCTGAATCTGTGCATAAATGCCCTTAAAAACATTTTCAAGCCTCAGTCAGTTAGAAATGGAGGTATTTTTTGAGAAAAGTGAAGAGTTTTATGGCACATACATACATAAATAAAAGCGGTACCTCACTTTTAATAGGCAGTGTGCTTCATGAGAAGAATGATTTGGGATCTTGAGCAGTCTCTTTAATAATTAGCTTAAAAATTTAGAAAAATTTTAGGTCTTTGTTCTTTAGGAAGTAAGGTACTTAAACAAGTATTTGCATCTCTGAATCATCTTGAATTTGTAACATCTTGCATTTAATTTCAACATCATTTCCTAGAAGAAAGTAGTAGTAGAAAAAGAGATTTTAGTGAATGGTATCTCTCTGTTGATAAATGTACTGCCCCCTAGGTGGCGATCCATTAACTACTCTTTCTACTTTTCAATGTAGTATTTTTGTTAGTTTCTTTCAGAATTGGCCCTTCGTCTGTGGAATTTAGTGTTCAAAGTTACTTTGGCATAATTAAAAATGTTTACTTCATGAGTCATGACAAAAGAAAAAAATAGAAAAAATTTTGGTTTAATAATATTTGTTGAATACCTAGTGTGGAGTAAGCACTAAACCAAAACTCACTGCCATTGAGTCGATTCGATTCATAATGACCCTTCCTTGGATTTCTGAGGCAGTATCTCCATGAATTCTAAGAGAAGCTCAGACATGTGGGTAGACAATATGGATATGCAGTGATGGAAGTCTGTGTAGGGTACAGTGGCAGTGCAGGAAGAGCTTCGGATTTCAGGACAGCCTCCTAGGGGAGATGCATTTGAGCTGAGTCTTCAGGTATGAGTCAGATTTAGGCAGGCTGAGGAAGCTGCTGTTGTTGTTAGGTGCCGTTGAGTCATCTCCAACTCATAACGACCTATGCACAGCAGAATGAAATACTCTCCGGTCTATGCCAACTCCACAATCCTTGCTACACCTGAGCCCATCATTGTAGCCACTGTGTCAATCCATCTTCTTGAGGGCCTTCCCGTTTTTTGTTGACCCTCCACTTTACCAAGCATGATATCTTTCTCCAGGGAATAGTCTCTTCTTACAATGTGACCAAAATAGGTGAGAAGAAGTCTGGCCATTCTCGCTTCCAAGGAGCATTCCGGCTGCACTTCCTCCAGGACAGATTTGTTAATCCTTTTAGCAGCCCAAGGTGCTTTCAGCATTCTTCGCCAGCACCACAACTCAAAAGCATCAAATCTTCGGTTTTCATTCTTCATTATCCAGCTCTCACATGCATATGAGGCTACTGAAAATACCATGGCTTGTGTCAGGTGCACCCTAGTCCTCACGGGGACATCTTCGCTCCTCAGCACTTGAAAGAGGTTCCTTGCAGCTGACTTGCCCAGTGCTATACATCGTCTGATGTCCTGACTGCTGCTTCCATTGACATCGATTGTAGAATCAAACAATGTGAAGTCTTTGACAACTTCAATCTTTTCTCCATTTATTGTGGTGCTGCTTATTGGTCCAGTTGTGAGGATTTTTGTTTTCTTTATATAGAGGTGTAA